CCAAAATGCTGTGCAAAGGACATTTCAGGCAACAATGGACTATAAGAGGAGAAATGTATCAAAAGCCCTGAGGGAAAGAGGCAGCATTAGGGCGTACAAATATGTTCAGGACTTAAGGCTCAAAGGCCTTGATTGCCAAAGTGAGGAACTGAAATTTTGTCTTGTAGAGGAATTTGAATTTTGTCTTTTAAATGGTAGGTAATGGTGTAAACCAACTTGCACAGCCAGGCTGTAAGGTAAGACCTATAGTTAGCAATATAGATAACTAAACTATGACCAAGAGAAGAGAATTTCAGAAATAAGAACTTCAAATCTTATAGCAGATTCTTTTTTTTTTCTGGTATAGTATTTTGGATTTATTTATATTTTTCTTTTTATTGTTATTGTTGTGTTGGGGGTGCATTGTGACATTTACAAAACTTCTATAATATGTCATAGTTGAATTCACCCCCTCTATCATTCTCCTTTATCCCCCTTTCTCCCCATTCCTGAAATAGTTTCAATAGGTCTCATTTTTCCATGTACATACATGTGTACACAGTATTTGCACCATATTCACACGCCTACACCCTCCCCCCACATCCTCTCCCTCCCCCGGTACCAACCCCACAGATAGGACCTGTTCTATAGCAGATTCTTGGGGTCAGAAGAAAGTTTGCTACATGTTACATCTCCACAAGTTCCCAATGGCCATCCATTGCATTGAAATGCATTTTTTAGGTTTTTAAGGGGTTCCTGGTTGATTCTTAAGCTGCACAATCCATGGGTATGTTCATGGAGGCCATCGATGTCTAGGCTATGTAAAAGTTCCTTTTAGAGTGCACTGACTTTCTGCTGGGACATTGCATCAGTCAGCATTTTACCAGAAGGGTCTCATTTATTCTTTAACAGCAGCCGTGGGGGGCTAATATCCTTCCTACCCCTCCTTTTCCTCTGCAGTGCAGGGAGAGGAGGCGATATTTCAGGGAAAGCAAGATCTCAAACTTGAGTTTGAACCTTGGAACTAAGACTGTTTGCCTTACAGCTTGTGCCCTAGACTCTGTATTCTAGGCCCTCCCATGTACAAATATTTTTCCCATTTCCACTGGACTTAATTCAGCCACAGACAGACACAGACAGCTGTCCTTTGTTGTGCACCTCCTGAGGGTTGGGCCTTGGCAGGAGACCATCCTTTGTGAGTTCATGTACAGCTTGACCGTGTGCCTGTCCTATTTGATTCCTGTTTTATTGTTTCAGGTTTTCATTCCATATTTTGGGACTTGGGTTGCTAAAGTGATCTTGCTTTATTCTAGGGTATGATACAAGGCTTTTCAATGTACTCCATGCAATGCTAATGGAAGCAGATTGGCTGTTCTGCATGGATGTGGGCTCTGGAGGCCTGCAGGGCCGGCTAATGGGATTTTTTTGTGGTATATTACTCACTTTCAAAAAGTCACACTGTTGAGTAATTTATAGAGAATGGAGCTTTTTTTTTAATAATGATCTTCAGCTATACATTTTCAGGAAATCTCTTTGGATTAGCATTTGACCTTTTTCAATAATCATATTGAATCAGCCTTATGCAGAGTCCCTAAATTTTTCTGTATGTCTCTCTTGAAAAGTCAATATGATGTTGGGGTCTAGTTTTAAAAGTCAAACTTAATAAGAAACTTCATATATTCTTTATCCTCTTCACTGGGTCTTGAAGTGCTTTCAAAACGAGGCCATAGTAATAAGATGGAGCTATGAATAGGAAGCAAGACAGAGAACAGGAATCTTGGGGCTGCTTAAAGCAGACACACTGGGGCCTCGTGACTGCTGGGTGTGATGCCTTTGTAATCCCCTTTCCGCTTTCATTTCTGCTTAGTCACATCTAATGGAGACACTGCAGGACTTAAATTAATGCCTTTGTCAAAGCAAGCAGACCTTTGTGGAGCATCTGTTCTCTGCCCAGGTTCTCAGGACGCATGCTGAGGAAGGACTGACTTCTTTCAGCACATGACTTTTTTTTAATCAGGATATATTTGTTGTTCGGGGGGATTCAGTGTGACAATTCCAAATAGGCTTGCATGGTACGTTAGTTAGATAACCCCCACCCTCTCTCCCCTCAACTCTCTCCCTGCCCCACTTAAAGCAATTGCAAGAGGCTTCACTGTTGTTTTTTGTATATGTATATGAATTCCATTAACCATATTCCCTCACCTTTAGCACCTGAGTTTTGAGACTCATTTCTGCTGCTGGCAAACAGAGTGACCTTGTATGAGTCATTCAGTTCTTTGAGCCATAGTCTTTTGATATATGAAATAGAAATTGAGGCTCCTGTTACTTAGGCTTTTGTCTGATCAGAAAGAACTCTAAGACATGTTGAGTGATTAAAGCAAATATAGAGAAATGTCTAGAACCTTCTCCAGTTTTTGGGTATGCCTGTGCATGTTTTCAGAATATATGTAATATAGTAAATGTGCATACATACACACGCACATGTATATGGATGTAGTCTAGAAGTTTCTACAAGAAGTGATTGGACTCTGGGGAATGGAACACTTTATATTTGTTGATATGAGTATTTTCTCTTCCCATAACTATATTCTAGTTTGAAAATACAAGTTAGAATATTTGTCCTCTGTGGGGCTGTTGAAGGTCAAGCTAGGGCAAGTACAATGGGTCTTTCCCCATGATTCATAAGCAGTGGTTTGCTTCTTGGTCCCTAAGCCTGGGAGTCTGACATGCTCCCTGCTGTGCACAAGCTTCCCTAGTCTTTCTACAACTGGCTTCTTTGTACTCAATCTTAGCATAATAGGAAAGATCAGATACAGAAATATATGGAAGACCCTTAATGCTGGTGAAGACAGACATTCTACTAGGGTGAGTCTCTGGTTATGAAATGGATAAATCTCTTGATTCCAAACATATTGAATGTCAAATTGAAAGGGAACTGGCAATCACATAATCCAAGGCCAGGCCTCACTGGGAAAAGTGAGGCCTTGGGGATGATAGGTCATAGCAGAGCATCTCTAGTGGACTTGGGGTATGCTGCCCAGACTCTCCCTTAGGCCTGAGCTGCCCCTTCCTCACACTGCTGAGGATGTTGGAGGCCAAAAGCAATCAGCCCAGACTAGGGAGTGCCTTATCTAGAGAAAGCTGCTCACCCAAGGTTACATGTGTATACCATGCATGGGTACAAAGACCTGGCTTTTACACAGTGGCCAGGTCCAGAACCCCTTATGGTACTGATAAAGTTTTGGTGAAGCTGTCAAGATAATGCACTGTAACTCTTCCCCTGTCCCATCTTCTTCTTCCACAGGTAGTCCACCTGAGAGCACAGCCCAGTGATTTCAGAGTTTCTTTATGCTCTCAGAGCCGGGCAATGGCATACCCGAGCCCACTGTCCAGGTCTCTTCATGGTATAGTGTCTCACATGCTACATGACCCATTCATTGAGATATGGTAGTTAGAATGGGTACAATTACACCTACCATTGTCATCTACCTGCATGACACAATTGGGAGCTCAGATGAAGTATGGATGGGTGTTGACCCCGCCACCCACACTCCGAGAGACCTGTCTTCCCTCCATTGCACCAATTCTGCCTTCTCAGGTTGCAGCAAGAAGAAAGGAGGCCAGGTTGGGTAGAAGGACACCACAGACACCAACCATGCAGACCAACAGAAGAAAGCCAAAGGTCTGAATTCTATCACCTTCCCAGCTGGGATTTCTTCTAGCAGGATAGGCAAGGCAGCACAGGAACACACAGAGCCATTTCTTTCTGCCATCAAGGCCATGTGGACAGACTCCAGCTCCACTAAATTTTCCACATACTCTTCAGTACCTCCCATTTTCCACTGTCCACACCCTCTCCCTTGAGATTCCTTCCTCTACCCTCATCACAATCTCTCCTACAATTCACCCTGGAACAATTCTCTCTTAGGTTGGCAAGACGATCAAAACTGTCTTATTTCTTCCTCATGTTTAAGTCTGTAAGTCCATTGTAGACTTAGGCACTTGTCCTTGTTAGACCACTTTGTAATTTGACCAGCTTAAACCATTCCACATCTACAAACAAATCATAATGTGTAGAACATTCTGACAGCCAGAGTTCTCTTGAGGGGCTTCCACATGTATGACTCAACCTCACAACTTCTTACTATTTTACTATTTCTTACTGTTTTCTCCTTCATAGCACTATCTACTATTCACCTGTCTACCTGCTCCACTGGTCTGAAATCCTTTATCTCTCTGTGAAAAGGAGCCCTTTTCCTCTGATCTCTTCATATGGTGCTTCTACAAAAGTTTGGGAACAGGGACTTGTAATTGGGCATTAGTTGTCACAAACCTTCGAGATCAGGACACCACCATCATCATTGCCATGACTGTCATCATTCATTGTTATTGTGATTAATGTTATTATTTTTATTATTTTACCTTGAACATGATGAACAGAGATTTCATTGCTTTTTCCCACATGGGAAACTCAGATCTTTCTCTGGAATCTTTAACCATTTCAGTTTTTCTATAGACCAGGCCTGCTTTCCCAACCTCCAAATATGCATGTACATATGTATGTGTGTTAATGTATATTTTTCGTGGTACTGGGATTTGAACTCAGGACTTCCTACTGACTAGGCAGGTGTTCTACTACAAAATCCGCACCCTGAGCCCTTTATTTTGCTTTAGTTATATTTCATATAGGATCACATGGCTTTTTTTTTTTTTTTTGCCTGGGACTAACCTGGACCCACAATCTTCCTCCTATACCTCCCTATGGAAACTACAGATGTACACCACCTGGCTTATTTGTTGAGGTAGAGTTCTCACTAGCTTTTTGCTCAGGCTGGCCTTGAACCATGATCTTCCTGATCTCCTTCTCCCAAGTAGCTAGGATTATACGTGTGTCCTACCATGTACAACTTGAGCCTTCAAATCTTTTGTGATTGTTGACACAGGTGGGCAGAGTGTGGGAGCCCTGTGCTACCTGAGCCAGGTAAATATTCCCCATCTTTGTTTCTGTTCCACCCCTGCAGGGAAGCTTCTATGTCCCCTCAGAGAACTGCATGCAGCATGCACATAAGTGGCACCGTGACCTGTGCCTCCTGCTCCTACATGCCTACAGAGGACTTCGCCTCTATTTCCTGGTCATCATGAGGGACATCCCAGAGCTGCCACAGATGGAGCTGGGTAAGGGTCAAGGGCAGGGGCATCCCAGCAGCTAATATTCTTCATTTGGAAAGGGAACCAAGACAAGTCAACGTGCTTTTGTAAATGTCACAATGGCAACACTCAGGTAGGTTTCTCTATGCTTCTCCACCTTCTAGCAAGAGAGAATCTGTAGTGCAAATGTGGAAAGAAAAGATAGGAATTCCTCAAGGTCCATCCATTCACTCATTCATTCATTCACCGAGCACTTTTTTTGAACACCTGCTACACAGCTGGCACAACTGCTACATAAGGTTAAGTTGCTTTCCAGGGGAAAATGCTACTTGATAGCCTTTGAACATCAGGCTGTCAATCCTCAGTACTGCAAATGGAAACAAATTAGGGTGTAATTACAGAATTGCAATTACAGGAGTGAAAAACAAGCCTAATAATGAGCTACTTATCTATAGTAAAGAACTGTATACACACAAATATACACATACATATATGTACACACATATCCATATAACCATGTATACATGTACACACACATATAGTGGATGGTTATAGAAACTTTACAGTGTCCACCATATTTGGCTATCTGGGGCAAATTGATTCTTGCACATAGACTTTTCAAAGGTTAAACATAATTGAGCCTAAGTCCCTCTTGATTAACAGATGATGGAAGTGAAGTACAATGACTGCTCAATGTCACAGAGCACTGTGTAGCAGAATCATGACAACACTTCAGAGATTATGCACTGACTCCCGGGGTAGGGTCCTTTGTGTCACATCACCCTCAGATACAGCAGGTGATATGTTGTGGTTCTGCTCAAAGTCTATAGCAGGAGCTGAGCTCCCAGGCTGGGATTCAGGGTTAAAACCTATTTCCATTATCAGAATCTTGCTGGGCACTGTGACTCTCCTATTTATACTCCTAGATGCCCAATAGCTGAGACAGCCATGGCTTCAGTGGCGTCCATGGGCACATCATCTATTATTGAAATGAACAGAACACATGGCAATAATGTAATCGCAAATTTTGCTTCCCCACCAAACCTGGGGTCTATGAGAGCTGGGTCCCTCTCAGATTCCTTATGTGTTCTTCCTTGACTGCTGAGTGAAGGAGTAGGGGCAGTACTAGAGTGGGTGAGTGAATTCAGACTCTTTTGCTTTCTAGCTGCATTAGCTGTGACACCCTGACCAAACCCTGTGCTCAGGCACTGTTCTTTGAATCAGGCAGTCCTTGAATATTTTTCAAATGCAAATTTTATGAAAGCTATACAGACATGCATGGGGTCTGGGCATATGGCTCAGTGGTGAAGCACTTGTTAGGCGCTGAGTTCAATCCCTACCATAACCAAAACTAAACAAAACCAAGGACATGGACAGAATCAGAGTTAATTACATAGTTCAGTAGCTCAAAGGAAAAGGGATGTAGTTCAGCTTCCTGATATCAGTTGCTGGAAATGGGTATTATCGGCTTCTGGATAACCCTTTTTTAACCTCAGAAAACCAAATTTCTTTTTTTTATGCATTTTTTAAATAATATTTTTATCGAGCACCAGGCATTGTGCTACACATTGTGGACACAGCTGTTGTGAATATGATGAAAGTCTCTTGTCTTTTGTGGTTCACTGACCCAGGTCAGCAGTAAGGCGGGAAGATGTGTGCTGCTAATCCTATCATCAGCTATCTGTCCAGGTGCTCACACTTACCTGGCAGCAATGCTTCAGTTAAAATCCATACAGCAGAGCCTGGTGCAGTGGGTCACACTTGTAATCTCACCACTCAGGAAGATGAGGCTGGAGGTTCTGGAGTTCAAAGACAGCTTGAGCCACATAGGGAGAGCCTGTCTTAAAAACCAAAAGAAAAAGGAGAGAAAAAAAGAAAGAAAGGAAGGAAGCAAGGAAGGCAGAAAAGAAAGTAAGAGAGAAAGGGAGAGACAGAAGCAGGGAGGAAAGGAGAGGCAGGAAGGAAGGAAGGGGGGGAGGGAGGGAGGGAAGACAAAACAAGACAAGAAAAGTGAAGAAGAGAAGAGAAAAGAAAGAAAAACATACCACAACCACATGCAAATGATGGACCATGGCATCATGGAACAAGAGGAGAGTTGCAGCTGTCACAATTTAATCACGAATAGTACAGGCTGCTGGTCCCTGCTGGTCAGATGGCACATCCCAGGCTACCCCATGGGCAGCTTGCAAGTTTCTAGTGCTGATTAGTATCCTGGACTGGAGCTTGCAGTCTGCCACCCCACTTCTCTGAGCTGCTGATTTTTCTTCTGCAAGGTGGAGATGCAAATCCATGCCCCATAACTGGTACAAAATCTCTGTGAGTGTGTGTGTGTGTGTGTGTGTACATGTGTGTGTGTTTGCTTGTGTGTGCACACCCGAGACAGTACAGATAAATGTTGAATCACTTTGGACTTGCAAGTGCTACATAAATTGGGAGACCTACTTCCTCTCATAAATGTATTCATGAGACAACTTCGACCTTCATCTAGTCCTTAGCCCATGCCTCTACGTGAGGCTTACCATCTTTACACTCATGCTTCCGCCCTCCAGGCGGTTAGGATAGATGTGAGGACAGCGTCAGCAATTGTATTTGTCTCTGTGACTTTGATGCCAGCTTGAAACTTAGGCTTTTTCTTTTAATTAGCAACTGTTGCATTTTGGTGCATGTCTGTTTAATTGTGTGGTATTTTTTCTTCCTTCCTAGAGGCCCTTGGTGTTGAAGAAACACTCTCTCAGCTGTGCTCAGAGCTACAGGTAATTAGAACACTGACCTTGGGTCTGAATGAAAGGAAGTAGTCCTGTCACTGAATGAATGAGGCTCCTTCTGCCAGCAGCTCAGAGCCCCAATCTCTGAAGCAAGGAGTTTTGCAAAAAAAGGAAACATTTACTCAGGAGGCAGTCATTGTGTGGATATGGGGAACAAGCATCAAATGTACCTTCCTGAGGATAGGGTTTGGGGGCATTTATGGGTCAGAGAAACAGGTTGGTCTGCGGCCATCTTGGGGAAGGTAAGAAAAAGTAATGGGGGTCCTGAACATTGTGATTGAGCTTTGCAGCTCTTCAAAGTAGGCTTGTTCAGAAAATTCCTATAAATGCAATATACACAACCAGTATGAAAGTGACCATATATGAGGAGTGAGATATATAATTAAGTGAACAGGGTCTATTACTTTCCTGTTTAGCCAGTGATGAATGGAAGTAACTATAAGCAAGGGAAGCTAGAGGGTTTATTTGGGTTTTCCCTGGGTTTCAAAAGAAATAATGTGCTCTGTCTGGTTTTAAACTTTAACTGAGGAAGGAGAATGGCTGAAGCCAGTTACAAGAGAAAAAAATTTACTGTTTTTGTTATAGGAACTTGGTAACAGGGAAAGCAAACATAGTTGTGTGAATTAGGAATATGTGCTTAAGACATACCTGACAGCTCTGTGCTATTGGTATTTTCCATCTCTGGGATCTCCTCACATCCCATTGCATAAGATGGTCCAGACGAGTTCCATTGTTCATATACAAAGAGAGGCAAATCAAGACTGGAAGGATGTCAGGTGAATTAGGATGAATGACGCAGCTATTCATTGCTGGAAGCAGAACTCAAAACAGACTATTTTGTCACAACTTCAGACAAATTGCTTCATCTTTATAAACACTGATTTTCCAATCTGTAAAGTGGGGATAAAAAAATCCTTTGGTTTTTGTTGACATCTTTTTTCTCTTAGCCAATAAGCATATCACACCCTTGCTAGGGTTCTCTGGCTGCTGTTTGAGGTGTATTTTGTTTACTTCTTCATTTAACCCATGGACATAATTCTATGACATAATTGTATTGTGTTCAGTGGATGAAGTGTCAGGGCTTGGTTCACAAAGGGTGAACCACTTTACCAGGGTCAGCACTAGCTGGATAGGGTTATGTGTCCTGGTCCCTGTGTCACTGAGTCCCTTGCTCTTTAGCACAAGGCCACACCAAGGAGCAGAACTGAACAGAGGTAGGGTCTGTGAAGATTCACGAGGCCTGGAACAGGGCAGAGTATGCAGACAAGGCTAACCATAGTGTTTGACACAATCATCCCAGGCCAGGCCTCCAGCTTGGCACTCCCTTCTTCATAGACTAGGTTCTGATGTGGTTAAGCAGTTATGTTCCTTTTGTTTTCTTGGCTATGATCATCAATGCTTCCTTGGCAACTCCTGACTGTAGTCTGTTGGCCCAGGTGAGTTTTCATTAATTTCATCAAACATTCCTCCTGACATCTAGGAAATGCTTAAGGAATGCTGGAATGAATGAATGGATTGCAAAAATAGTCCAAGCTGTCAGAGGTGAGGAAGGAAGTAACACTGGAAAAGTGAATAGCCCCTCCCGGGTTTATGGGCTCATTTGTGAAGTGAACCTGACCTCCATGTCTTCATTCATCAGTCCAACAGCCTCACATGTGTTGTCCTGTGTCATGTACCACATGCAGGGCAGTGGGTGGAGTACACTCTGCCCAGACTGCAGGATGTTACTGGAAAAATATCATTAACTATCAGTTCTTGTGTCTGGCAGGAAAAGAATTCAGGGAAGATGCAGAAGCAGCAAAAGTAATGGTTAAGTTTATTAGGAAAGAAATTTAGTATAACAGGATAAAAGTAGGGAGAAATGGAACAAAGAGAGAAGCATTTCCTGCCCCCATGCAGGAAATGAGAGTAAAGACTCAAAATGATGGCCTCCATCTCTTAGTCTTATACTGGAGAACTAGGGGATTACACATGGTCAAAGATAACGCATCTGGGTGGCTGAGCTGGCTGTTAGAGTAGGGAAGGGTCATCGTGGCCCACCCAAAACACAGAGACACCAGGTATGCCTTAGAACTTCTCTCTGCCAGATATGATTATTCTCCACTCAGCCAAGGAGCCTGAGAGTTTAGCATCCCAAAGAGAAAAGCAAAACAGGTAGCTTCTTTACTCTGCCTGTTCCTGTAACTTGGTATCTAAAAGGAGATGGGAGGAGCTAGTTGCTCTGGCTTTTCAGTTTTTACTTCCTCATTCCAGTGTCTGGTCTGTCCCTTTAAATATTTATTAAAATAATAGAATTTTCCTGTCTCCTCATCTATCTATCCTGCCTCACAGGACACAGTCCCAAATCTGCTGGACTGGCTATCAGCTTCAGACAGGTCTTTTTCCCTCCAGGTGGCTGTTTCCCTGGGTATGAAAGAAACTGTTATAGGGCTGAGATTGTTATTGAAAAAAAATGGCCTTGATAATTATAGGAGAAAAATTTAGGCAAGACGCAAAGATTCAGTAAAAGTAATATTAGAGTTTATTAGGAAAAGAATACGCTTTCAACAGTCTGAAAATGGGTTGTCTCTAGAGTGAGAATAACAGGGTCGTGTTTTAAGGTTGGAATATTTGAAAAACTTTTAGCTTGGGTCCTTTTGGGCCCTGGGGTGACCCAAATTCAGAAATTTGGGTTATTGTCTTGTTAAGAGAGACGTTGAGTAATCTACTAGTTCCTGCTCTAATTGATAGAGAATTTCTGTTCGAAATTCCTAACCTTTGCTCTATGTAGCTCTTAGGTCTGGGTCTTTATTTTGTTAAATTCACTGGTGAAAACCTCTCTACATGCCAGACATAGTTGATATTTAGAATGTGGATTACTCTTGGGTAAAGCGTGAATTATCTTTAAGGTAGTGGGTAATTTTTAAGCATCCTGTGCTAGCCTCTGGGCTCTGGCTACCTGATTTTAAATAGAAATTAGTGGAGTTTGGAAGTTGAATTACAGTGGTTTCTTTCTGTCTTCTTCTTTTGGCCACCGTTTATGTCTAACTGCTATCTATCAAGAGAGGTCAAATAAGCATGTGCTCAGGATGCAGCAGGCACACAGTACCACTCTGTAGGTGCTGCTGTCTCTGCCATTGTTCATCCTATTCCATGGACCTGGTCAGGGTGGCACATGAGAACATCGTGTGGGAACTCAGGTCACTTGTTACTAATTTCACCCAGGAGGAAGCAGACCCTAGTGGTCCCTATAGAGGCAGCTACTTTGGAGACCAGCCTTGAAGGAGTAACAGAATTTTGCAGTTTTGTATAAGGGCAGCAGTGGAGTCTGGAGGTAGGAGGCTATGATTGTGAAATAGTAGGCAGGACTCCAAGAAGGGAAAGCCTGAGAGGACTGAGATGCAGGTGAAGGAGCCCAAGCTAATGAAGGAGAGGCCTGTGTGTCCCATGCATCACAGTACTGAAATGAATCCCCCAGGTCATAGGGAGCCATGAAGAAGGAGGATGACATTCCTTTTGGGAACTAAATGGAAAAAGAAACTACTAAGATTGGTTTCTACCACAGAGCACTTATCAAATGTGGAGGATTTCCCACACATCAACAATCTATTCCCTGACGCAAGCTGGAGAGACCCCACTGTCTAATTCAATTCAATTCTGACACCGTCTACCTGGGCTTGGCATCTGATCCCACAAGACTGCCCTTCTTCAGATGCCAGATGCAAGTTCTGGTCCTCTCCTACTTCTACCCAATCATTTATAAACTAGAGATTACCACGCCCCCTCCTCTAATTTGATTGTTTGATCCAGTGGCTCACAGAACCCAGGAAGCACTTTTCTGATATTACTGATTTGGTATTACAAAGGAAGTTGGATGCAATGACTCACACCTGTAATCTCAGCTACACAGGAGGCAAAGATCTGGAGAATCATGTTTCAAGGTCAGCCCAGGCAAAAAGTAAACAAGAACCCATCTCAACAACAACAACAACAACAACAACAAAAACTGGGAGTGGTGATATGCACCTGCCAGCTCCAGGCTGGCCCAGCAAAATCAGAAGACCTTATTTCAAAAAAAAAAAAAAAAAAAAGAATAAAGAAAAGCTGAAAGCATTGGTAGCATGATTCAAGTGACAAGAGTATCTGCCCAGCAAATATAAGGCCCTGAATTCAAAACACCCAGTACCAACTAAAACAACAATAAAAAAGAAAATTATAAAAACTATATAGATGAATAGCCAGATGAAGGGGTGCATAGGGCAAGGTCTGAAAGGAGCCTGAAGGGTAGAGCTTCTGTCCCCTTGGAGTAGGGTTATATCACCCTCTGGGTAGGTGGGGACATTCACCAACCTGGAGGTTCTCTAAGCCCTGTCATTTACACTTTTCATGGAAGCTCCAACACATGGACATTATGGACTAAACTGGCCTTGGATGATCCACTCAATCCCTAACTCCAGCCACCTCTCCTTCCCCAGAGGAAGGAAAGTTCCAATGTTCATGGATTGGTCTTTCTGACAACCAGTCTCTACCCTAGAGCTGTATAGGAATTTGTCAAGGGCCACTTTGTTAGCATAAACTCAATATGTTTGAAAGGGCCTTATGAGTAGAAAGACACTCTAGTGCTCTGGAAAGTCCAAGGTCTTTAGACGTTCTGGCCAGAATCACAGAGGGAGTGAGTCTTGGGGCAGAAAGTGGTGGCTGGGGTAAATCACAGTTACGATAGTTAAATACTAGCAGCATTCCTGTGTGGAGGAATTCTTGCTGCGTGTCCATGACTCCCTGGAAGTGTGGGAGGGAGGTGCTTCTGTATCCCCATTTATTTTATGATAAGTGGACACAGAGGAGTGTGGTTTCCTTAAAGTCAGTGAGTCACTAAGTGGTGAGCCCCAGGGACTGGGGGAGTGGGGTGAAGCTTGGGCCAACAGTATCTAGTACAACCTTGTTGCCTGTGGTTGCTGCAGAAGTTCAGGTAAAAACTTGGAGGTCAGGATGCAACTTCCAAAACATTT